AAAAATTGATTTTCTGTTCTGTTAAATAGTGGCTGGTTTTTTTTGATTTTTTTTTTTTTTTTTTATTCTATCTGGCAGCTATCCACAAAAAACAATCTGTTAGTTTGAACAGAGAAAGGCTAGCATCCTGTTGTTACTTTCTTTTTCTGCCTTCAGTGCTTTGACTGGCTGGGCAGTGATACGGATTTGGCTATACTAAACACATGGCCTGCCAAGAAGGAGCGGAATGGTTTCTTCCTACTTCTTTTGGTCACTAGCATGGTATGGCATGGGGCATGGGGAATGATCAAGAGCTACTGAGAACTCCAGAGCAGAATAGAGTTCCTCCCCTTTCTCATAAATAAATGTTGGTTAGCACAAACTTTCTAATGGTAGGCAACTGTTACCCAATTCCTCCTCCCTCCCCCCCCACGCCCCCAAAAAAACCCTCCCAACAATGAAATCTCTTGAATTGGGGTTTTCTGTGAAGTTTGTAGAAAGGCCCAGTCACCTAATGGAAGCTTTCACAAAGATCAGCTTGATGGCTGAATTTAGCAGTGGCAAAATTCCGTAATATACTATTTTTCTACTAAATGTATGCCTATTAAACTGTAAGACTTCTTTGCATGGTGCTGAACATCATGATTTTGTTCTGCATGAAATAATCAGGTCACTTTAATATATATTGCAAATAAAAAGGTTCACTGAGGACAGGTATAGACAAATGATTGCAGTTTTAATAAACAGAATAGCTTATTGGTGCCAGTCATTCAGGACGAAGATGAAAACGACAAGACTATGGAGTTCTTTTTCTCTGTTTTTCAGTGCCCAGGGATTTGCCATCCCTCCTTGATTCACCAAATATAGCTTCACGTGCAATATTTCTTCTCCTACTTACAAGAGATGGTTGATTGCCTTCATTTCATTTTTAATTGAATCCCCTGCACTTCAAGTCTCTCCGTTGCCTTACATGAACAACTTTGTTGTCACTTCTTGAATGCTTTTCTCTGGCATATTCCAACAGCAGTCTCCCTTAATTAGACCTTAAATCCAGCTACTTCCTTTGTGTTAATAGTTATTTCTTCTTTAGCTTACCCTCTCCTTTTTCCCTGAACAACACTTTAAAGAATTGCAATTCATTTCTGTCCACCAACATTGGAACAGGCTGCCCAGGGAAGTGGTTGAGTCACCATCCCTGGAAGTATTTAAAAGACGTGTAGATGAGGCGCTCAGGGACATGGTTTAGTGGGCATGGTGGTGTTGGGTCAATGGTTGGACTTGATGATCTTAGAGGTCTCTTCCAACCTTAATGATTCTATGATTCTATGATCATTGGATGCAAAAATTTCCCTAATCCAGACATACCATGGCCTGAAATAAAGGCTATTGTACTTATCAAAAAATGGAGCATTGCATCAGCCATTTGGGTTTTATACCATTATCTATTGTGGAAGCTGCAGATCATCATTTAGCAAAGTGCTCTTAAAAGGCCAAAGACACATTTTTGTCACTGGCGCAGAAGATGTGGGGATATGCAGAGATCTATTTGTAAACTAACAGCCTTTTTGTGAAGCCTACAATCTGTTAATTTAGCTTCTAGTAACCTAGAACTGCAATGCATGTACATTCAGAGAAAACCCATCAACACTGTAAAAGCTCTGGTGTAATATTTTCTCTAATACAGCTTGGGACAGAGTACTGTTTTATTGCGGAGGTTGCTGTTAAGTAAAAAGCAAGCTGTAACATAAAACCCAGGTAAGGCTCTGGAAAGCAGGGGACTGGAAACAGTCTAAACATGGAACTGAGGACAGGGAACTGGAAAGGAAAAGTAGAATCTGTGAATGGAAGGACAAGATTGGAACTGGCATGAGGAAATAGATGGGCAGAGGACAGCTTGGAAGGGATGAAGCAGAAAAGATCAGCTTTATCATGATAGAGCTTCCAGGGTTGTGTGAACCCTAAGGTTCTTGGTGTCTCATCGTTCATCACCTGTCAGAAGTATCTGGGACATTCTTTCAGAGTTTCATACTCTTCAAGTCCTGGTCCACACAGGAATCACAGACAACTTTTGCAGGTACTTCTGTACTAGCTCAAGTGTCAGAGATGAGAGCGTTGAATCTAAAGGTTCCAACCTTGCAGATGTGGGTATCAAAATAAAAATTACTGGGTGGTTTGTGGGGGAGGGGACTGTTACAAGAATTTCACATTCCTACCAAATACACTAATTATAAACTCTAAAAAAACCAGAATTATGTTTTTAAGTATGTGGACAGTCTATGGTGAATCTGTCAGGCATGAATGTTTCAAGATAGCCTTGTCCCATACAGTCCTCCTTCTATAGTAATGCTGCATTCAGAGCACAGGAGGGTGCAGTGCAGTACCCCTGCCACCTTTGTTGTAGGGTCAGAAGATGTGTAGTGAGGGGTGTAAGAAGAGAAGAAATACTTGCTGTAGTTAACTCCATGGTATGTACTAAACCTCTGCAAAACTGAGTGTATCTTAAGGCACTTAAGGTATGCTTTTCATGCATCATCACTGGTATGTTTCTTATTTTTCAAATCACTGATTTAAGGTGTTTGTATAAGACTTGCAGATGTGCTAACTGTCTGCAACCACAAATAAACGTAAAATGGAGACAATACCTCCATCCTTCCTCTTCATTTCACATGAATGCAAGGCTGTGAAAATACCTAACGATGAGTGCTGTAGAACAGACTTTGAGGAAAGAGATAGTTCTGTACTGGGGCTCAGGCGGTGGGCAGCAAATAAGAAATGGAGAGAAAAAAAAAAAATTGTATTAGTGAAGATCATTCTTGGTCATTATTCAAGGTACAGCAAATTTGGCTTTAGATCTCTTTGTACTAGAACGAAAATACCATGGCCGCATGACACAAAATATTATCTGTATAATATTCTGCTGGTTCAAATTTCTCTAAAAATAAAATAAAACTTAGTAGGTCAACTAACTAGCTTATTGTACCAGTAAGGTTGGTTAGATTAGATACAGTTCGTCATGTTTTAGATGATGTAGGTGCACAAACCCAGGCGAAATTCTAGGTTGTTCTCTGGCTAACGTGACAGTATGCGAACATTGTGTCTGTGTGCCAGAGTGCAGTAGGACAGCCGCTCCCGAAGGGATGGGGAGCCATATGCGGTCACACAGTGGCAGGCAAGGGCCTCGCTGGCTGGGGTTGGTCCCACAGTACCTGAGCAAAGCGAGCAGGGCAGGCTGGGGTGTAGTAGCAAGGTTCAACCCAGTCTAGTCTTTGTGCTGAAATAATTCTCTTCTTTATTTGCTTCTTGCCCTTTTTGGCTTGCTTGAGTGGAGGAATAATTCTCCTTTAACATTGTACAGATAATATTTGATATGCTGTGAGTGATGATGAAGTAGATGATAAAGTAATTGTGACCAGACACATAAAATCCAAGTTGAATTTTTCTTGCAACCTTTTGAAAGAAAACTGGAGTAAAGGTAAATGATTAAAAAAAAAAAAAGAAAAAAAAAGTTATGAGTTTAAACCAATTTTAAGTATACAATTTCTAGAAAACCAAGCAAATACATAAATCTCTCATTTCCTTTTGTCTTTCCAGTTCTACCAGAATTAAAGCTGCTCTGTGGGGCTGATTTTCTACAGACAATTAATACACCCAATCTCTGGAAGGAAGAACACATCAAAGAAATAGTGGAAAAGTTTGGTTTGGTCTGTGTTAGCCGTGCTGGCTCTGATCCTGCTCGGTATATCAATGAATCAGACCTTTTAACTAAATTTCAGCACAATATCTTTCTGGTGAAAGAATGGATTCAGAATGAAATCAGTGCAACACAGATACGCTATGCCTTGTGCAGAGGATTAAGTGTAAAATATCTCATACCAGATTCTGTTATATCCTACATTGCACACCATAATATCTACACAGAAGAGAGTGAGCGGAAGAATGAAGGTGACTTGCTTCAGCCTCTTAAGTTGCATAACACAACACTAAACCCTCTAAATGACTGATGTCTGTAGTGTGTGAAGTGGACAGACCTGGGGTTTTTTCATGTAAAGTTCTTGAGAAGGTTGTTTCTCGTTAATGAAGGGAAAGTACATCAGTCCAAAATTTCTTGAATTCATGTGGTGGTTTAAATTCATGGTTTTGTGTGTGGTAGTGCTTAAGCAAATCGGGATGCTCAGCTGCATAGCCTAAAATATATAAAGAACAGCTTCCTCGTGAAAATAAATGAAATAAGATCTTAACAGTAAATATTAATCTCCAGTAATACTTAAGGGTCAAACATAGTACTTTCCTGAATTGTAATTCTGTAATCCTACAGACAGTTTTAGCATGAAGATGCCTTACTGTTCTGAAGCAGCAAAATAAAACGAACCATAACTTTTCTTTACATAAATATATATTTAATTATATATTACTGCTAAACTTTGACTTTTTCAGACCCTGAATAACTTTTTGTCTCTTGGCAGTTTGGACAAGAGATAGAAATAAATCTTTCTTTCGTGCAAGCACTTAAAAATGCATGCACCATTCATGTCACTTTTAAGCCTCCAGATTCACAAATTATAGACAGTCCTCATCCCCAGATTTAAAGTGGGTTTCTTTGCTTCTCTGATCCAGAGTCTTCTATAAGAGTAAGTAATTGCCAAAGCCCTGGAGTAGATAACATATCCAAGAGGAACTTCAGCTGTACCATTTGAAAATACACAGTGGAAAATAAATGAAAATAGCTAAGAGGCTGTCTCAGTATTTGAGCCAGAAATGTTAGCCAAAAAAATCCATTCTCTTACATGTTGGTTGCCTATTCTGCTGATTCAGTCTATCGCATTTTTGACAGAAGACACCTTCAAATAATATAGAATCTCTATGAAGTGCTACCTCTGCGTTTCAATGTTGCTTAAATTAACTGAAAACATGCATTCAGTAGTGATGTAGCATTTATCAATATACAGCATTAACCTCTGCTTCTTAATACAAGTTTCCACCTAACTGGCCCTTTTTGAGCCCTCATTTGGCCAAACAGCTTCCACTGGTAGTTCTCTAGAATTAAGGAGCTTGCGGAACAAGTTAAAGTAATGATGTCAGACACAAATTGCTTTCACTGAAAGAGTCTGTATGATCGTTTTCTGAAAAGAAGGCGGCGTAAAGTACCTGGAACATATTCAAGGAAGAAGGATTCGCCTCAAAAACCACACAAGATAAGCACTTGTATAGCTTTGGCTAATATCCTAAACTAAAGCTATTTAAAAGGTTTTTTTCTGAGTGGCATGAAAAATGAAGAGTAATATGGTTAAAATGGATCTCCAGATAATCGGTACCCTTACAGAAGTTATATGGAAGGTGAATGTTTCATTCTGTTTAAATCAAGTCATCCTGCTGTCATTAGAAATCTCAGAGGTTCAGCCTTGTGGAAGGATTTAAAGGCAACACTTCTTCTAATCTGATTATTGTTGGACTTGCATAGCTACATGGTCTAAAAAAGAGCTAAAAGAAACCAGAGTTCAAACTCGCCACAAAGAAAGACAGTGAGCTGTGTGGTGCAGAATCAACACACTGTTCTGAGACTTTGATTTTGACAATTACCTAAAGTAGGGATGCCTGCAGATTTCAATGGTTACTGGAAAATGGTCAGCAATGACAACTTTGAGGAGTATCTGAAAGCACTGGGTAAGGTTCCCTTCATGTTTCTTTAATAAATTATCAATAAATGCAATCTCTCTTCGTCTTTACATGAATCTATTTTTTCTTGTACAGTCATAAATCATTTTTTGTGAGAAACATTTTTTTCAGGAATGCACTTTAAGAATTGCCTTATGCAAAATTGTTCTGTCTTAAGCAGCCTGTACTTTTTACCATCTTGAAGCTTACATTAACAGACATTAAGCTACATAGCTTGAAGAGGTAAGTGGCAGATTTCAAACTTAAAAAAACAACCATAATGTGAAAAAGAGTAAAATTTTTATGTGTAATAAAGAGACAATAATGTACTTGATGCAATTTTGTGTGTTTGCATTTGATGTAAAGTGCTAGTATTTCTATAGAAATATTGAAGGCCTTATTAACTGTCAAATACAAATGGTATTTTTTAGGATTCCACATAATCAGAAAATCAAAACATGAACTTATTTAAATTAAAAGAATTAGGTTATGGACTTTTTCCTGATGAGAAAGCTGGTGTGAAAGATCTGGACATTTATTTATCTTCATTTATTTATCTATAAAATGAATATATAACTATTCATTTTAGTTCTGCCAAAAGCTACAAGCTTCTTTTTGTGGTAGACTTTTCTGGATTAAAGCTTATTGTACCAGTTAGGTTGGTTAGATTAGATACAGTTCGTCATGTTTTAGATGATGTAGGTGCACAAACCCAGGCGAAATTCTAGGTTGTTCTCTGGCTAACGTGACAGTATGCGAACATTGTGTCTGTGTGCCAGAGTGCAGTAGGACAGCCGCTCCCGAAGGGATGGGGAGCCATATGCGGTCACACAGTGGCAGGCAAGGGCCTCGCTGGCTGGGGTTGGTCCCACAGTACCTGAGCAAAGCGAGCAGGGCAGGCTGGGGTGTAGTAGCAAGGTTCAACCCAGTCTAGTCTTTGTGCTGAAATAATTCTCTTCTTTATTTGCTTCTTGCCCTTTTTGGCTTGCTTGAGTGGAGGAATAATTCTCCTTTAACATTGTACAGATAATATTTGATATGCTGTGAGTGATGATGAAGTAGATGATAAAGTAATTGTGACCAGACACATAAAATCCAAGTTGAATTTTTCTTGCAACCTTTTGAAAGAAAACTGGAGTAAAGGTAAATGATTAAAAAAAAAAAAAGAAAAAAAAAGTTATGAGTTTAAACCAATTTTAAGTATAAACTTTCTAGAAAACCAAGCAAATACATAAATCTCTCATTTCCTTTTGTCTTTCCAGTTCTACCAGAATTAAAGCTGCTCTGTGGGGCTGATTTTCTACAGACAATTAATACACCCAATCTCTGGAAGGAAGAACACATCAAAGAAATAGTGGAAAAGTTTGGTTTGGTCTGTGTTAGCCGTGCTGGCTCTGATCCTGCTCGGTATATCAATGAATCAGACCTTTTAACTAAATTTCAGCACAATATCTTTCTGGTGAAAGAATGGATTCAGAATGAAATCAGTGCAACACAGATACGCTATGCCTTGTGCAGAGGATTAAGTGTAAAATATCTCATACCAGATTCTGTTATATCCTACATTGCACACCATAATATCTACACAGAAGAGAGTGAGCGGAAGAATGAAGGTGACTTGCTTCAGCCTCTTAAGTTGCATAACACAACACTAAACCCTCTAAATGACTGATGTCTGTAGTGTGTGAAGTGGACAGACCTGGGGTTTTTTCATGTAAAGTTCTTGAGAAGGTTGTTTCTCGTTAATGAAGGGAAAGTACATCAGTCCAAAATTTCTTGAATTCATGTGGTGGTTTAAATTCATGGTTTTGTGTGTGGTAGTGCTTAAGCAAATCGGGATGCTCAGCTGCATAGCCTAAAATATATAAAGAACAGCTTCCTCGTGAAAATAAATGAAATAAGATCTTAACAGTAAATATTAATCTCCAGTAATACTTAAGGGTCAAACATAGTACTTTCCTGAATTGTAATTCTGTAATCCTACAGACAGTTTTAGCATGAAGATGCCTTACTGTTCTGAAGCAGCAAAATAAAACGAACCATAACTTTTCTTTACATAAATATATATTTAATTATATATTACTGCTAAACTTTGACTTTTTCGGACCCTGAATAACTTTTTGTCTCTTGGCAGTTTGAACAAGAGATAGAAATAAATCTTTCTTTCGTGCAAGCACTTAAAAATGCATGCACCATTCATGTCACTTTTAAGCCTCCAGATTCACAAATTATAGACAGTCCTCATCCCCAGATTTAAAGTGGGTTTCTTTGCTTCTCTGATCCAGAGTCTTCTATAAGAGTAAGTAATTGCCAAAGCCCTGGAGTAGATAACATATCCAAGAGGAACTTCAGCTGTACCATTTGAAAATACACAGTGGAAAATAAATGAAAATAGCTAAGAGGCTGTCTCAGTATTTGAGCCAGAAATGTTAGCCAAAAAAATCCATTCTCTTACATGTTGGTTGCCTATTCTGCTGATTCAGTCTATCGCATTTTTGACAGAAGACACCTTCAAATAATATAGAATCTCTATGAAGTGCTACCTCTGCGTTTCAATGTTGCTTAAATTAACTGAAAACATGCATTCAGTAGTGATGTAGCATTTATCAATATACAGCATTAACCTCTGCTTCTTAATACAAGTTTCCACCTAACTGGCCCTTTTTGAGCCCTCATTTGGCCAAACAGCTTCCACTGGTAGTTCTCTAGAATTAAGGAGCTTGCGGAACAAGTTAAAGTAATGATGTCAGACACAAATTGCTTTCACTGAAAGAGTCTGTATGATCGTTTTCTGAAAAGAAGGCGGCGTAAAGTACCTGGAACATATTCAAGGAAGAAGGATTCGCCTCAAAAACCACACAAGATAAGCACTTGTATAGCTTTGGCTAATATCCTAAACTAAAGCTATTTAAAAGGTTTTTTTCTGAGTGGCATGAAAAATGAAGAGTAATATGGTTAAAATGGATCTCCAGATAATCGGTACCCTTACAGAAGTTATATGGAAGGTGAATGTTTCATTCTGTTTAAATCAAGTCATCCTGCTGTCATTAGAAATCTCAGAGGTTCAGCCTTGTGGAAGGATTTAAAGGCAACACTTCTTCTAATCTGATTATTGTTGGACTTGCATAGCTACATGGTCTAAAAAAGAGCTAAAAGAAACCAGAGTTCAAACTCGCCACAAAGAAAGACAGTGAGCTGTGTGGTGCAGAATCAACACACTGTTCTGAGACTTTGATTTTGACAATTACCTAAAGTAGGGATGCCTGCAGATTTCAATGGTTACTGGAAAATGGTCAGCAATGACAACTTTGAGGAGTATCTGAAAGCACTGGGTAAGGTTCCCTTCATGTTTCTTTAATAAATTATCAATAAATGCAATCTCTCTTCGTCTTTACATGAATCTATTTTTTCTTGTACAGTCATAAATCATTTTTTGTGAGAAACATTTTTTTCAGGAATGCACTTTAAGAATTGCCTTATGCAAAATTGTTCTGTCTTAAGCAGCCTGTACTTTTTACCATCTTGAAGCTTACATTAACAGACATTAAGCTACATAGCTTGAAGAGGTAAGTGGCAGATTTCAAACTTAAAAAAACAACCATAATGTGAAAAAGAGTAAAATTTTTATGTGTAATAAAGAGACAATAATGTACTTGATGCAATTTTGTGTGTTTGCATTTGATGTAAAGTGCTAGTATTTCTATAGAAATATTGAAGGCCTTATTAACTGTCAAATACAAATGGTATTTTTTAGGATTCCACATAATCAGAAAATCAAAACATGAACTTATTTAAATTAAAAGAATTAGGTTATGGACTTTTTCCTGATGAGAAAGCTGGTGTGAAAGATCTGGACATTTATTTATCTTCATTTATTTATCTATAAAATGAATATATAACTATTCATTTTAGTTCTGCCAAAAGCTACAAGCTTCTTTTTGTGGTAGACTTTTATGGATTAAAATAATTCTTTTTCTTTTTCAGATGTAAATGTTGCTGTAAGAAAAATAGCAAACTTGCTAAAACCTGACAAAGAAATCCTTCAGAATGGGGATCATATGATCATTAAAACGCTAAGCACTTTTAGAAATTACATCATGGAATTTGATGTAGGAAAGGAGTTTGAGGAGGATTTAGCTGGGGTGGATGATCGCAAATGCATGGTAAGAATTAGAACTGTAACAACAGACAAAAAAAAAAAAGAATATTAATAATCTGAGGCCTTTCATAGACCACATCTGTTAACCATTTTGTGTGGCTATTCCTAAAATTGTTTCTGTACTTCTCAGTTTGCCGAGATGTGCACACAGTTTTTAATGTGCCTTTACATTAAAGGAATGCTAATTTTATCAATGAATGAATAGTAACTTCAGTGAAACATTACTCAATTATACTGGGATATTTGTCAGTCAAAAAGACATTTAGGTTCAGACTTTCAGAATCTCTTTACTGAGTAATGTTTTACAGTAAAGGAAATCCACCGATGGCAGGGTCAGGCACTATTCCCCATGTGTAAGAATGGCCAAGTGCTTAGAAATTGCAGCTTTTCTTTCTTGTTCTTGTTCCTGTGCTCCTTCCTTCCTGGGTGTATTTATTAGAGCAGACGCATTAATTAGCCTACTGGAACAAATCTTATTGCAATCAATAAGCAAACACTGAGGACTCTGCCTTATGAGCTCTTTTTGCTTGCCAGAAAGACAGTATTTTCTAACTTATGACTGATAAATACCAATTAACAGGGGAAAAACTTGAGAATACCAAGTTCTTTCCTGTTAGTTTGAAAGTATGACACCTGCAATATCCTACAGTGAAGAAGTTGATAAGCAAAAGAAAATTATCTCAGGAGAGACTATAGAGGAGAAATCACATAAAAGAGAATTAATAGGGTTCCATTCTTAGAAAGATAGTGCCATTTAGAACCGATATTATTCTCTAACACTAGGATATGCAAATTTGCTTTTGCTCTGGTGATGGCAGGAAAGGGAAAGATCATGAAGATCAGAAAAAAAGAATGGCTAGCTAGCAAGTGCCTCAACTAATCCTTCTGTGCTCCTTGTTACAGAGGGTAGAAGCATGATAGAGTTCAGAATACAAAGTTCACAGAAGGGAGAAGCAATGTGTATTTGTGTATAGGAAAGTGCCCCAATGGCATAATGCATTTTTGACTGCTGAAAGGCTCTTAATGAGGATAATGAGGTCCAGATCCACTGAACAGTTATGAGCCCAAAGAAAGACTTAGACTTAGGTGGCTAAATTACTGTCAAAGATAGCAATGTTCAAAGCAGCTGCTCAAGCACTAAAAATGTCCTTAATGTTTGAGTCAGTGAAGTAGTGGTTTGTGTGTGTACCCAACTGTCTCCATCTAAGCATTATCTGTATTTAAATACCATTAAACTCCATCTAAAGGAGGACTAAAACATCCTCTACATGGCGGAAAGAAGTAATGGTGCTCTGAGGCTGTCTAACATGTACCTGCAGTCAGTTCTTACAAATGTGTCAGACAACCACTATGCTGAAAAATCCAATTCAGAAGACATGGAAGTGTGGCCCCTGCCTAGTCCTGCTTTTGAAATACTTAATAGATTTAACACACAACTTTTAATTTCCTGACAAATACCCTAAATATTTCTTTATTTGTAACAGGCCAAAATTCTCTACCTTATTTTGCTAAATTGAATGATGGGGAAGAATTCAAAATGTTGAACCAGAAAGAAGAAATTAGAGAAAGATTATTCTGGTCACTACACAGTTACTTGATTTGGAGTGGAACCTAGTTCACCCTACTTCCAAGGGTTGCTTAAACATTTTATCTATTGGCTGGTTAGTGCAAAATGCTTACTCGGCCTTGGAAGCAGAAGGTACTAGCATCTTCTTGCCTTTTCCAAAAAAACCCAAGGGGTAGTCACTAACCCTGACTGTTTGTTTTGTTAAGAATGACTTAGGCACGTAACTCCACAAAAACTTTCAGAAATCCTCCATGTCCCTTTACAGCCTCCAACAACGGATACCAACTGCAGCTGATTTGCCTTGTACCAATGTATGGTTGGACTCGATGATCTTAGAGGTCTTTTCCAACCTCAATGATTCTATGATTCTATGATTATGTTCAATTTTCTCATTAAAGATTTATTTTCTACATGAGACCTCAGTTTTCTCAAAGGCAAAACAGTACAAGAAGCTGTCTTTCTGAAGCCACTTCAGCCCAAATCTGATAACCATAATGTCAGGCAAAACTTGCAGTTGTTAAGCAACAAAAGAACTCCAACAGTCCAGGAACAGTCTTGTGAGAGAAGGGTCATGGAGACGATATAAGACATACTGGACTGCTCCCTGAGTGGTGTTATGAAGAAAACCACCATAAAAACAAAGGTTGAATATCATCCTTGGTGTTTCCTTTTCTCATCTACAGCTTGTGAAACTGAATGCCGTAAATGGCTTAATCATTAATAGTCAACCTGTGTAATGGGAGAGATTGTGAATCAGTTATTGTTATTTATATTGTGGATTGAGCAGACCACTGGGCAAGTTTTATCCAAGTAGCTCAATGTATGAGAAGTACAAAGTAACATGGATAAGACAAATTACACGTTAAACATTAATCTATATAGCAGAGCAATCATCAGGAGACTAGCAAAAATAACCTTAGAAGTAATTCATCCAATAGGCATAGCTCAATTTTTCTTTTAATGAAGAATATATCATCTAACTAGAGTTAACATCAGTAAAAATGATATTCGCACGGTGAACAGGTTAGATCTTGTGTATAATTCACTGAAATTGTGTTCACCTTTCAGTTATAAAACATGTCTTTGAGTCAGTCAGGGTAGAGCGTAACTACAATAATTCCAAATCATAGAATCATAGAATCATTAAGGTTGGAAGAGACCTCTAAGATCATCGAGTCCAACCG